GAGACCCCCCCAGGGTGGGGCTGGACTGGTTTGGGGGGCTCTGAGAGCTCTGAGACCCCTCCGGGTGGGGCTGGGCTGGTTTTGGGGGGCTCTGAGAGCCCAGAGACCCCCCCAGGGTGGGGCTGGGCTGGTTTGGGAGCCCCGGGGGGGTTAATCCGGGCTAATCCCACCCCTGGCCGGGTTCCCTGGCACCTTCCCACCCCTGGAAAATCCCACAGGTGCCCGAGCCCACGCCCCCCGTGCCCCTTTAAAAGGGGCAGAGCCCTTCCCTGGCACATCCTCGGGTTCTCCCGTTGTCCCGAATCCGACGGGATTTGCCCCGAATCCGCTGAGATTTGCCCCAAATCCGCCGGGATGAGGCAGCTCTGGACCCTCCTGCTCCTGGCCGGGCTCTCGGGCCTGGCTGCCACCTGTGAGTCTTTTGGGGGGTCCGGGGGGGGGGGGGGGGTCCCCACTTGGGGGTCCCGGGGGGGGCCTGAGGGGGTTAAGGGGGTCTCTCTCTCTCTCAATCCCTCTCTCTCCTGCAGTTCCCGTGGATGAGCTGCCCGTGAACCCCCTGGAGCTTGGGGGGCCCGAGAGGAGCCCCCTGGAGAGAGGGGGGGCCCGAAAGGGTCCTGTGGGACCTGAGGAGCCTCAGGAGGGTCCTGTGGGACCTGAGGAGCCTCAGGAGAGTCCAGAGGAGGAAGAGGAGCCTGAAACCAGCCCTTTGGAGGAAGAAGAGCCTGAAACCAGTCCCTTGAAGGAAGAAGAGCCTGAAACGAGCCCTTTGAAGGAAGAGGAGTCTGAAGAGAGCTCAGAGGAGGAAGAAGAGCCTGAAACCAGTCCCTTGAAGGAAGAAGAGCCTGAAGAGAGCCCAGAGGAGGAAGAGGAGCCTGAAACGAGTCCTTTGGAGGAAGAAGAACCTGAGAAGAGTCCTTTGGAGGAAGAGGAGCCTGAAACAAGCCCTTTGAAGGAAGAGGAGCCTGAAGAGAGCCCAGAGGAGGAAGAGGAGCCTGAAACCAGTCCTTTGGAGGAAGAAGAGCCTGAAACCAGTCCTTTGGAGGAAGAAGAGCCTGAAACCAGTCCTTTGGAGGAAGAAGAG